CTTCCTGAGAAGGCTGCAGAAGCCGAGGTTAGACCTAACAAGGTGGGCCCTGAGGTGTGTTTCAAGCTCATTTGTGTTTTTTTTTTCTATTGCAAAAGGCGGTAGCTCCATTCTAAGGACTTCTTATCTCTTTGTTCTAGCTCAAAACTGCACAGATGCAGGAATAACTGTGCTAGTGGATAAGCTCTCCGTAATTTCTGGCATTTCAGGCTTAAGAAGTTTGGGACTCAGGGTCTGGCCCTGTGAGCACGGCTGGACAGAACCCCACCAGCATCTGTGGGGCTCCCTACAAAGACAGAAACCCTTCCGTGTGGGTCCAGGCACCCCAGACACCACAGGAGTAGTCACCCCTGCTAGGCCTCAAGCTTGGGAGATTGTTTGACCACAGTCAAATGACTTTAATTTCAAGACAGTTTCAAGCCAGTGCAATTAGCTTAACATAAAGACTGTCTTAATTCAAGCTGCCAGAATATCTCTCCAGTGAAATGTAAGCAAAAATCGGAGAAAAATACTAAGCCTCCTCCCCCCAGATCAAACAAAATAGTAATGCACAGGCAAATAAATGAAAAAATCAAAAAGCAGCCAGCATTATTTCTGGAAATAGACAGTTCTCCATCACATGGGGGATAAACAGAGTGTTTTAGGGAGAAAGAAATCATAGAGACCCTCCCAAAATGCCGTATAAAAGATTCAGTCACCTTTACCAAGGGGTGTTTTGCTCTCTGAGCATTTCATCTGAAATTCTCTCTCTGCTGACACATAGACCCCCTTGGCACAAGAGCATCTGAACATATCCCGAAGGCTGGAAACACTTCCCTTCTTCTGCAAGTAACCATCCAAGCCCAGCCCCATGGTTCCTGTGTGGAGACAGAGGCTTTCCCTGATCCTGAGGAGATGTCTTTGCGGACGGGTATTTCTCTGTTACATGGAGTAACTTCTAGTTTGGGACCAGGGCAGGCAACAAGGAGCCCTGAGCAGACGTGACACAGAAGGTGTCACCCTCGGCATCATCCAGTGCCACAGCGTTGTGGACTGACAGAAATAAAACAGGAATTCTCCAAGGCCTTCAGAGTATGGCCGTGTATTTGGGCTGCACTAAGTCAGTGTAATCTGCAGGCTGCATTTGTTTGTGCGCTGCCGTGAAAGCTCCTAGGAGACTGTAAACATCATTGCAAGAAGTGAAGTTGATCCTGCGTTAGAATGCAGTTTTTGACAGCTCTTGGATTGCTGTTTTGATTTACGCACTAAATGAAGAGTTTGTAGTTACAGGCGGTACAGGCTCACGGCGTCTTAAATTGAATGAATCCATTTAGCATACAGAGCACACGGACTGCGACTCCTGCAAGAATCGCCTGAGGGAAGTTTTCTGAGGTTCGGTAACAAGGTCAAGGCTTCAGGAGCCAGCCCCTGCTCCAATTCCTGCAGCGCTGCCACTGCTCTTCCCCAGGAGGACAGGCTGGGAGGGCAAAGGGTGAGCAAGAGGTCGCCCTGGAAAAAGGCAGCGCAACTGCAGCAAGACTGAGCTGGAGCTTTTGCCTCTTGGCCTCCAAATGTTTCTGGTGAACAAGTCATCTTATTGTACAAGTGAAATGCATCCTATTATGCTGGGCATGACTGCCTGAAAAACACTTGACTTGCTGGAAAGACTGGTGAACAATATAGCTTCCACTTACAAAGCACTTTCCATAAAAAGCTTTTCAGGGTAGCATCGTATAAAAATAGTTATACTAAAGTTGTGAACCAGCTTCTGACAAATCCGGGCTAACAAAAGCTAAGGTATAAATAGAAGTGTTTTCGTGGGTTTTCTCTTCTCTAGAGTCACAGAATCTCAGTCAGTGCTGGATTGTAATAAACAAAAATGCCCTTTTCCAGACACACAGGAAAACAAGGACCTTCCAGACTAGTGGCTCAGCATATAAATAGGTTTTAAAAACTGCTGCAAAACCATAAAACTTAGTCAAGACCGTAAGATTTGCATTTTAGAACTGGGTACACCATATCAGACCAACTTTTTTCTGATCTAGTTCTTTACTTTATTTCACACGAACTGGCATCTCTTGCTTTACAGAAAGGTTAAGCAAGTTATATTTTTATAATTACGGAATGAATTGTCTCCAGGCACTCAAGGATATGGGGATTATCTCAAAGTCTGCAATGTATTAGGATTCCTGGAAGACAAATGCTGAAGAATGTCAAATATTACGGATCCTGTGTTTGTAGCTTGTCAGTGGGCAGGATAAATGCGTCTTCCTGCTCATTTTCAAAATCGTTATTCTTGCAGAGTACGTTGTAATTTTTTCTTGCAGCAGGTTTTGGAACAGCTAAGTATAAACCCAGTATTTGCTAATCCAGAGTTAAGCAAGCTAATCTTGATGTTACTCCAAGCCAGTTCCGCCTGCTCTGTGTTGACCTTTTCTGAATCCACCGAACTCCACGTAGCTTAATCCACCCTACCAGGAGGGACGGTCTGTTTCTGTAGGCCAAAAATAGTTCTTAGTGCAGCTGAATCAGTGCTGCTGCAGCTCTCCACATCGTGTTTGATCAGTCCTGTCGGCACAGACCAGAGGCACGGCTGGACAGGGTTCCTACGTAATCAGTCTGATACATGCCGCTGTTCTCGGAGTAGGAGCTCCTCTGCTGAAACCACCCCCCACCGAAGATGCTGACTTACTAACAGCTGAATTTATGATGTCCCTGGGGTCTGTAGTAGCTGAGCTTTAGAGATACTGCTTCGGTCTGCCTATGGAAAGTAAGGATTTCAGCCAAAATTTACTTTTATCAAATCCTTTTGTATGCTCTCCAATCATCCCATAATCTTTTCTCTTGGAAAAAAAAAAACAAGGATGCCTTTTTCCGTTCTGCGGGGCAGCCTGCTGCTTGTCCCCTTCCCCATCGTTGCAGTCAGTCAGTACCACCTCACGGCCACTGCGACTTGGCCGGGGGAACCTGGGATCCCTTTCGCTGTCACCCAAACTAAGGCATGCTTACGTGCTGTTAGTTCTTTGTTGCTCCATACCTGAGCAATTGCTTGGGGTGGCATTCAGCTATCTCCATTAACAAAGGTGGTCAAAAAGACAGGATTCCATCCCGTGCTGCCGCCACGTGTGGGTTGTGCCATCTGACACCAGATATTCAGAGCATTCCTCATTAAAATCATATTTGGCTGCTTGCGCTGCCCAGTAATCAACTGTGTGAAGAGCATTTCGTGTAAAAGCGCCGAGCCCTTCCTGCCAGCCCCGCGGTGTAACAGGGCTGCTTGCTGAAACTCGACTTGTGTCTGTGACAGCAGTGCCAAAGTAACTTTAATAATTAATCGCGCGCCGATTAGATTGTAAACTCCGAGATGGGCCAAAGATTTTTGTGTCATGTGTCAGACAAAAGCTGCTGGCAATACTTAACCAGCAGTCACCTGTCACTGCTCCACCTGCCATTGTGGCAGCGCGCTGGGAAGCAGGGGAGAGACAAAGGCCCAGGAGACCTCGATAAAAGCCTGCCCCGGCTCTGCCCAGCCACATGGGGTGTTGGAACAGCTGCTGCCACGGGAGCCTCGCTTACTGACTTAGTTTGTCGAGGTGAGACCAGGCAGCATCCGAAATTCAGGCCTGGAGAGTTAAACAGCAAGTTCCCTGGCTGGAGCAGCAAGGGGGCAACGCGTAGCCACACTCACCCGCTTCATCGGGGCTCCTTTGTGGCCATGCACTGCCCCATCAGCTGCTCATAGCAGATTGCTGTGGAAAGGGTGGTGGGTTTTATGTTTTTTGTTGTCAGGAAAGATATTACATACAGCTGAAGTCATGGTGCGCATGAGTGTAGCAGTGAGAACCACTAGAACTCCAAATTGGAAAATTACTTCCTCTCCGTAATTTCCAGTTAGAAGTTTTGCTCGGCTCACTTAATTGCATTTTTCCAGGCCCTTTGCTCTTGCCCCGTGACTCTTGGGGCCTGTTGTATCCTCAGAAGTGTTTATTACAACTACAGAGGCAAAGCCCTTAGCAGAGCTAGTCCATACGCAGCTTCTCAGATGTGTGCACAGCGGAACACTTTTCCTGGTAGAAAAGTATGATTTAAAAAAGGACCTGAGAACGAGCTTCACCATACCACCGAGAATTGGCCTCAGAAATCAAGCCAGCTTTAAGGAAGGAGTGGGAAGGGACACTTAAGCAGAATGAAACATGCCAGTCAAGTTAAAAGTGATTCATTTTGCCAGTTGTTCAGTGCGTAATAGAGCCCTGAGCATCGTAAAACAGGAGGTATTGTTAAAAAACATTTGAGAGGCAAACAGTTGTCATTCCCTGCTGGTCAGAGCACAGCTCGGGGCAGCTCTCACTGGAGACAAGATCTGGGGACCGGAGGCTCGAGAGCTACCAGAGCCCAAGCTGAGCAGTACTGTCCTGCAGCCCCTGTAGTCAAATGCTGCGCAGGTGGCAAAGCTCACCCCAGGAGTACGAGTAGCTTACTTGACAGACACAGCGTAGACCTTCATTAGCGGGACCTTCTTAATGAGAAACAGCTAAGGTCTGGAGGCTTCAAAATGTTTCATTGTGTGACTAGGAATTTACAGACACCACAAGCCACATGGCTTATTTTTCCCCTTTTCTCTGCCCCTTCTACCACTGCCCTTTATGAAAAACAGAAGTTAAATGAGAGAAAAATAGCTTTAATGAAACCTTCAGGTTGAGAAATCAAAATCGACATTCCAACAACAGGAAGTTTCAAAAGCAGTGTTTGTAGCAGCACGTTAGCTGAGCTGTAGCACACTTGCCTGTCTTTTTAAGCTGTATTTTGGGTACCTTGATAGAACAGTGGGGCACAAAGACAGTATTACGGCGCTAGTTTAAAACTGCAGCGTTTCCAAGGCATGGAAAAGTGAATTGAACTCTACTCCCTAACAATTTCCTGACTCCTGGCAATCAGCGCTACAACTTTTGTCTTTCCAGTAAACACATCTGAATCGCTCCCCCATGTGAGGAGGCTTCAACTTGTTTGTTGTTTTATTCTAGGGAGCTGGAGACAGTTTTGTGGGAGCACTCGCCTTCTACCTGGCTTACTATCCCAAGCTACCCATGGAGGAAATGGTCAGGAAGTGTAACTGCATTGCCTCAGTGAGCGTCCAGGCAGCGGGGACACAATCTTCGTATCCTTACAGGAAGGACTTGCCTCAGGACCTTTTCTGATTGATATTGTCTAGCTCGATGTACTGATTTTATCTTAGCCCAGACTGCATTATTCTCCCGACTGCACAGCTGTTCCCCTCCACTGACTGGAAAGAACAGGGAAGTCTCTTTGCTTATTAGAGGAGTCCTGTCAGCTCCTGCCCTACGGTTGTAAAGACGGGGCAGGGTGGTTATCTCAGAGATTTGGCAACCAACTTTCTCCACGTTCAGTAAAAACCCAGAAGTTCAAAACCTGGCCTGCTTACCTGGCCTGAAGGAGCCCTATTAGCCCTGCTCCCGGCTTATCCGCCAGCACATCTTGTTCCACCAGCTTCCCACCTCTCCTTCCTGGCCCAGGAAGGAGCTGGCGCGGCGCTGCCCCTCCAAGGAATGACACCACGTCGTGGTCACTACTGTTGAATCTGCGGCCGGTAGGTTAGAAAAACTTGCGATCCTGCCATTGAATTCCTGCTGTGGAAAATGTTAATTTTTATTGCCTTATAAAACAATGGTTCCTTTGAAGATTACAGCCTCTTTCACAATGGAAAACACAGACAATGGGATTTGCTATTTAATTTTTTTTAATTGAGCACTGTAAAAATAACTCAAAAGATAAATAAATGTTACTGTGATGATCTATGTCCAGACATGAAGAATTTTCTCTCTCTACATTGTTTTATTCACAATGGCCTTCAAATCACAGGAGACGGTGATCCCAGTTCATTTCCTCTCTTTTCAGCCCATGCTGCAGGATTTCTGAATCAGCATTCACCCGGTTCTCCCCCCGAACCATCCTCTCCTCGTGCATAAATCAAGCATAGTCATTGTTTAGATAGAGCGGATTTTTCTCTTCTCCGTGAAGAGGACACGTTGTTTAGCTATAGAGAAGAAAGAAAAAAAATCTATTAAGAACCCTGAAGTATTAAGACCCAATTCAACAAGCCTACATCCCTTTCTCCTGGCTGGCTTCGCTGCTGAAATGACCGTGGAGCGAGCACGGCTGGTGCAGCGCTGCTGCTAACCAGCTCCTGAAGGAGTTGAGCAGTGGTTTCACTTTACCACATGTAATTTTTAGCTCCTAAGAGGTCCCTTTTACCTCTGTGAAAATAACCGTCAGGATTTAAGTGGCTGAAAACATTCCCCAGCTGCTGTGTGTGACTATTCTGAGTCACAGCTGTTTGATGTAGGGATGAAAATAGGTTCTTACGGCTTTCTACTACTCTCCAGCTCCAGAGCCCAAACAACTACAGGCGACAGGCTGGATCTAGGCAGTCTCTCAGATCGACTGGAAAGTGCAACAGGGCCTGCCTCCAACACCTGATGCAGATGTTAGCAAAGACAGCTCGGCCACAGGCTAAGCACAGTGGACACGTTACTGAAAGAATCCGGCCAGAGTTTTGCAGGGCCACCTGAGAGCACCGCCGCTCCGATCCAACTTCAATGTTCATTCCTTTGAAAGTGCTGCGAGGGCCATCCACACAGTAACTAAATCGCTCCTTCCACATCAAAGTTTCGCTTTAAGAAATCCTCCAACTTAGTAACACATTCTGCTGTTGCAGTTAGGAGGTAGTGAAACTTGGGCACTGCTGCCACTACTTCACCGAACTCATTCTGTGGAGGGCCCAGGTTTTCAAAAAGTACAAAACAGAAGGTGAAAATGCATGCCAAGTGAAAATGCTTCCTAACATATTCCTGATGTGAGGTGGTATCTAGACTCAAATTTACTTCCCTTCACACATGCAGCACTTTCTCACATCAATTTCTCACTTGTGTTCTAGTATAGGCTACAAAGATCAGAGCTTTTTTTCTTAATTACTTCCAATTTCTTGCTTCAACAATCTACTACATGTTCTGCAACAGAAGCACCGCGTAGCCTGAGCTCTCCAGTCTTCACATTTCCTGCAAGTTGCGAAGCTCCTGGAGGTACATTTTGCAGTGTTCTCGTGCAGTAAAGGCAACGCTAATTTAACATTTTCTTTTTCAGGGAACAATCCTGGGGATCTCTGCTTCCCCTGTGTATGAAGTTCAGAAGGAAGGCCACGGCCTCTCTCAGCAGCAGTACTTTGATGAGCACACACAGTTTCCCCAGTTATTTCTCTCACTTGACATAAAGCTCCTGGGCTGTTAGATCTGAGTATGAAAAGGTTAATTAACTAACAACAACAAAAGCCTGCACCACATAGCTCCTGGTCATGTATTATGTCATATACTCAGAGCTGCTCAATACATCTTTTCATGCTAGCTTTAAGTAATTCTTTTTTTTTTTGCATCAGCTCCCCCAATTTCTAGCCCGGTCTGGTTCAGTTACTGAGTTTCCCCAAATTAATCTTTTAATTTTAGCTGCAGACTGCCTCCTCCCGCAGAAACATGACCTCTGTCACCTTTCAAAAAGCTTTGTGAGCAAAAGGCATCTTGTCAAGTGCTGTAACTCACCACCAGATCAGATTCTTAAATGGAGAGAACTTGCAAGGACCAGAGCAACACAAAAGAACCCACAAACCGTTAGCTAGAGAGTGGTATCATTCGGGGAGGAGAGAAAGTGCTTCTTTCTTTAAAAGAAAAAGTCCATTTTGCAAGCGATGGGCAAAATTTATTGTCTGGAGAACCCGTGGCAGCTGAACAGAACATTTCTATTGAGGCACGCTTCGTGCCTGCTTGTTGGAGGTAGCAGTCTAGCAAACCACACAAAGAAGCAGAATGAAAGAACTCCTGTGTCACTTCGCTTTGCCACTGACATGTGGCATGGCTGTCATCAAAGACTCTGATGTGTTGGGCAAGTCCTTACTTTGTTTCAGTGCCACAATCTGTAAAATGAGGGTAACGTTTACTTCCCAGTGGAATGTCACGAAGAACAGCAACTGTACAGTCATCGGAGGATCAGATGTGTTATGCCATATTCTGCTCAGATGGGAAAAAGCCTGTTACTGTCAAGCTTTTACCCCAGACAACCAGAGCGGCTTACACAGAGCGGGCTGACTTCTCCCCCAGTCCCTTACCGATGGGATCGTATCTCAGCAGGACCAGTTTGTCCTGCAGCCGCAGCCTCCTGATGTTGAAGCAGTAGCCGGTCTCTGCTGCGCTCTTCATCCTCACCAGAATGTACCTGAAGTCACAAGGGAGGTGTCTGCATCAGTACACAGCACGTCTGTGCCCCCACGTGTCTGCCAGGGCACTGCCAAGTGGACAAGCATAAGCAATTTGTCACATCAGGTAATTCATTTCAATTTCACCGATGTTCTGGATGGGACCTTTAAAATAATATGCTAAAATTAATGTAAGACACAAAAAGAGCCTGCTATCAACCATAAATTCCGGCATCAAACTGGAGTAAATAACTCTAAAGTAGTACACAAGCACAGAGAGAAGTAGCTCCTCCACAAAACAGGGTGGAGGAGTAAGGGAGAAGAAAAGAAAAAAATCAACACACAGTTGGGTCACTGCAGCTTAAACGATGATGGAATGAAAGGAAGGATGACGGTAGCTAGGCTCAGACAGTGCCATATCTCAGGCTATCACTTCCACATGCAGAGAGGAACCGGAGCAATGGAATGGAACAGGAGGCAGGCAGAAAGGAGAAGCAGAGCTCCTCGTGCCCTCCGTCCCTGCGCAGGCACAGGACGGGAACCCCCTCCCCACCGGGTGACAGCAGGCACATGGAGCAGGCTGGCAGTAGCCCCGTGCCCCTCACCCTGCAGCTATTCCAAGGCCTGCAGGACTTCCCAGAAACCCAGGGCACCTTCTGCATTTCAAAGGAAAGGTCAAGGCCGTTAACCATCTGTAACTGAGGTCTTTCTCTCCCACTGATAAAAGTTTGGCTACATCTCCGCACCTGGGCACTCAGCTCCCTTTCCAGATCTGCCTGCTTCCAGTTCGGTCACACCTCCCCTTGGCAAGGCCCCGTCCTCCCTCACTGGCACAGCTCTGTCCCGTGTCCTTTCCAGAGCTCTCCCTTTTCAGCTTCGCAGTGTCATTTACTGGGATGTACACATTAACAGGGAATCAATCACCAGCTTCCCTCCAGCCAACTGACCGAGCATCGTCGAGGGATCACCCCGCTGACTGCCCTCCTGCATGCTACCGCAGGTGTGATGTGTGGCACCAACACCGCACGGCCTCCTTCCCCTGCACCTCAGCCACTTCCCCAAAGCCTCTGCGCAGTTTCCCCTTTTGGGGGGAATTGGCGGTATCAGTATGACCAGGCATACTGGAATTCTCCACACCACATACCAGGCCAGGCCCTTTCTGAACAACACAACTCATTCGCTGAACCTGCTGCCCGATGGAGAGCTGCAGCCGGGAGCTCAGGCAGGGGAGAGCTGTGGAAAGCTCTCAGGACACGGGGATAAAAATGGGGGGAAGCACATAAGGATAAATAATGCAAGGAGATGAAATACTCCTGAGGTATACACAAGACTACACAAAGAACAGAGAAAGGAAAAGCAGGAAAAAAAAGGCAAGCAAAAAGGATAGCAATATTAGCTATATTTTATATTATTGCTATATTAGCAATACCATTTTTCACCTCAAGGAAAAGTCCTGCTTTGCTGTGTTTGCTTCATCAGAAAGCTAAGATGTCAACCTGCTCCCTTCCCTGTCACACACGTGCTTAGAAAGTGAGCTCTCAGTTTCAAACCCTGACAATTGTGCGAATCCTGTAACAGAACAATCTCTGCAGACCCAGCAAGTGCATGATACTGGATATTTTGGGGGCTGATTCTTTAAAAACTCCAAAAAGGTACCAAAAGTCAGTGTCCAAGGTTGTGTGGTACCAAATATTATCGAGTTGCACAGAATGCAGCTTCACGGAATGACAGGACACTAACATCTCCCCTGAGCTGAACTAAAGAGCAAACCGAGGTGCCCGGAGTACCGAGTGCCCCCCTTCTGCTCTGTGATGCAATGTGCTTTGATCGGGAAGCCTCCTGTGCCCTGTCTATGAGAAAGGCTCAGAGCACCTGCCCTAAGGCCAGCCTGCAAACAGCATGAAGCTCCCTGTGGTACCTCAGCCGGCCCTCCCCGGCTGGAAAAGCACCAAAGGAAAGCAAGAGGAAGACCCTGTGGGTGCTTTATGGCCTCTCGTTACAGCGTAACGCACTGAGGCGTGCTTCCCCTGCACAGGGCGCTTCGGGCGAGTGTCAGTAGATAGGACAACGCTTACCTGTGCTGCCATTTTATAACACAGGTGCTTTTTGTACACCACCGCACCCACCTGTGTGAAAAGCCGCGCGTGTGAGGCCAGCAGCAGGGGCGCGGCCAGCCCCGGGGGCTGCAGCTCCGCCCCGCCGCGGGTCCCCACACGGGGCCGGGACCGGGCACCCCCCTGCCGCGGGGCGCCAGCAGAACCCAGGCGGGTCGGGAACACAGCACTTACTTTGATTTGCTCTTGGCCACTGCTCGTTTTCAGCATGAAGAAAAGAAAAAAAAAAAATGAAACAGTGATTATTTTATTTATTTGTATGGCACTTTATATGAAGAGCGACGCGCGGCCACCGCGGCCCCCCGCAGCCCTCCCGCCCCTCAGGCCGTTCCCTTAGCCCGCCCCAAGGCACGCCGGGAGCCGCGCGGTGCCTGCTGCGAGTTGTAGTCCCGCTGCGGGGCCGGGCCGGGCACCTCACGCAGCGACCACGGCTCACAAACGG